ACACTGGGAGCACCTTTTGAAACACCTAAAGCAGCAGTGAGGCTGACGCCTAGAGCTTTGTTTCAAGTTGGTGCTCACTGTAGGTATGTGCTTCACGTTAGCTTGATTCCCAGTCAGAACAGCCACCTGCTGGTCCGGTTCTTCCTCCTTTCCAAAATTGTTCCCTATATGTGTTTGTTTTTTTAAATAGCAGAATTCAAACTCTTCTTGACCTGTCCTGGCAGTGAAGCCTTTGGCTGAAATAGTGTCTAACCCCCACCATGATACCGTTGTGAAGGTGAACAGTGACAGCTTTGGCCAAATGTACTTAGAAAGAAGCGTTAGTGAAGGAGGGAGATAAACAAGTTGAAGAGATTAAGGGAAAGCAAAGCATCTGCTGTGCTCATTTAGTGCTTCCCATATGGGAAGCATTCATGAAATAGCATTAGACTTTAAAGAATTTGTATTATTTTCAACTGCCAAGCTTGCTATGGAACACAAAGAAGAGGGATGCTGTGTGTTCTCAGGGCTGACTTCTGCCCATTACTGCTGGAAGTGTTGTGTTGCTGCTGTTGCCCTGCTTGAGACAGCTGTGCAGATTGATGGGAAACCCATGTGAGGTCATGAATAATATTTGGTTGAGGAGCCTACAAAAATAGGAAAGGTAAAAGAACAGTTATTGGCTAGACCCGCCAGATGCTAAAGAGAGTGATTCTAAGTATTTATTAAAGCTTGTTGAAGATGATTAAAGCTGTAGAAGTCAATTAAAGCCAATAGAAGATTTCCACTGATTTGAAGGGGCCAGAAGTGTCCTGTGGGGACAAGCACACCTGGTGGGAGATGCCCCTGCCCACAGAAGGGGTTGGAACTGGGAGCTGCTTAAGGACCTTTCCAACCCAAACTGTTGAATGATATTTTTGTCTTTTCCTGACTTTATTTGTATTAACACAGTTCACATGTGGCATTTATTTATATACAGCCATTTTAGGGCTCCTGTGTCTAAGGTCAGGATTTCATCATCTCAAGATTTCCCGGACAGAAATACACATGCACAAGTCATGCAGCAATCACCTTTTTTTTTTCTTTTTCTTTTTCATTTTATTCAGAAATCTTGCAGAAATGACTAAAACCTCCTTTTTCTTTTGGGAGAGGTAGGACTTGGCCATATGTTGGCCATCTGTATATCATCTGAGAAGCACGCGAATAAAATCTTTGTATTACCTCAGAAAGTAATCTGCAGGCTGCACAAATTTAGGAAGGGCACTTTGATTAATTGCTCTTTAAGAAGCTCAGTGTGTCCATCTGGCCTTGTGCTGCAGCTCCAGATGGAGATGGTCTCCTCTAGGCCACATGTCACATCTGCCAGCCTGGAGTGGTACCCCTGTGTGTCTAAAATGGTACCAGGCACCGATGCTGCTGAGCTGCTCCTTTTGTGGAAGTCTGTTACTGAGGGGAAAGAAGGCAAGGGAATACATTTTCACATCTCTCTGAGCTCCTTCAGGTTGTAAGGACTCACAGAGGCTCGTGATGTCCCCGTGTGGACACCCAGATTGTGGTGCTGCCCCAAAATGGAGGGTGAGAGCATGCACAGTGTACCCAGGGAGATGAGCTGCTCTGCCTGGTGTCCAAGCTCCAGGAAGCAGCGGGGAGACTGAAAAGGTGACAGATGGATCAGGGGAGCCACGCTTTGCCACTGCTGCGGCAGGTCCAGCATCTGGGCTGCACCAAGGTAATGGCAGCAGCCTGGGGAGCCTGAGGGCTGGAAGCCAGTTTCTGCAGAGCAGCGAGAGGAGCGCTTGTCTGCCTGCTCAGCTTCCACTGCCGGGCAGGTATGAGGCTCTGGCAGATGGGGGTTGTGAAAAGAGGAAGAGGCATTCATGCAGGTTCTCCCTCCAAGGTGTGACCTTGTAGCAATAAGTGCAGCATCAAAACCAATGCTGCGAAGAAGCGAAGGCGCGTTGTTCTCATAGGTGACTCCCTCCCTCCTCTGGGGAATGAGGGCTCCCATCTGCAGGCCAGACCTCATAAAGGCTCGGGTCAAGGATGTTACCAGGAAGCTTTTGAGCATAAGACAGCCTTCGGACTGTTATCCATTCCTCTTTCAAGTGGGTACCAATGATGTAGCTGCAGGAAGCCTGAGGTCTATCAAAAGAGATTTCAAGGCCCTGGGGAGACAGCTAAAGGACTCTGGAGCACAGACAGTGTTTTCCCCCACTAATAAGGAGAGACAGGGAAAGAAACAGGCGAGCTCAGGTCATCGGTGCCTGGCTTCAAGACAACTCAAGAACTCTGAATTGTATAACCATGGAAAAGGCTTTGGGCTGAAAGGTCTGCAGGGACCCTCCTGTCTCAATGGGGGAAATGCTGCTTGACCCGTAACCTGGCAAGACAGACTAGGATTGACTGGGGAAGGGAATACCAGTAAGAACACTGAGGTTACATTAAGGGATGGCGCAGTGCTGTTAAAGAATGACGAGGCAAATGGGAGAATCTGTGCTGATCCAGAATGGCTGCAGTTTCAGGATCTTCTATACCAACATTTTGTCCTGGTTTTAGCTGGGCTAGGCTTAATTTCCCTTGTAGTTATTGTATGATCTGGATTTAGGAAAAAAACAGTGTTGATAACACAGCGTTGTTTTAGTTTTTGTTGAATGATGCTGTACAGAGCCAAGAAAGTTTTCGTTCCTTGTACTGTCCTGCCAGTGAGGGGGCTGGGGCAGTGCAAGGAGCTGGGAGGGGGCAGAACCAGGACAGCTGACGTGAACTGGCCAAAGGGACATTCCATGCCACAAGGTGTCATTCAGAATGATAAAACTGGGGACATTTACTGGGGATATGGCCACTGCCATGACTGAGTGGGCATTGGTCAGTGGTGGATGAAGGGAAGGCAGCAGATGTCACTATTCTAGATTTTGGTAAGGCCTTTGATACAGTTCTTTATGGCACCCTTCTGGATGGATTGTCCTACTGTGAAACAAACGAGTTCATACCGTGCTGGGTGATGAACTGACTCGATGCAAGAGCTCGAGAGGTAAATGGGGCTACATCTGGCTGTGTACAGTTACCAGAGGTGTTCTCTGGGGCTCAACTCTAGAGCCAGTCCTGTCCAACATTTCTATCAACTAACTGGACACAGGCATGCATCCACAGCACGTCTTACGATGGCACAGATCTGAGAGGTGGTGCTGATCCCTGGAGGGACAAGAGGCCTTGTAGGAGGATCTGGATTGATGTGAGCATTGGGAAACCATCAGTGGCCCAAAGTTCAGAACAGCTGGTGGGATGCCCATCGTGTAAGACGTGGGACCGTCTCATCCATATTGTTAGAAAAGAAAACAGGGGCAGTAGTAAGGGCAATTTGCATCTCATGCAAGGGTCAGTTATATCTTGTAAACTACTAAATGAAATGCAAACAAGTCAAAGATTGTCTCTGTTTGCAAAGAAGTAGCTGTTAAACATGCAGTTTTAGTTTTGGAAATTGTGACAGATCTGCTCCAGCTACTATAGTGGCAATTTGATTTTGCAGTGCTGTAACCATAGCAATTGTGTATCTTTTACCCTCATCTGGAGATCTTTGTGTGGGGGAAGTTGTCCAGGAGGGTGGATGTTCAAAGTGGTAGAAAAAAGCAGAACTTCTTATGTGTTTGTTAGCAGAGTTTTTAAAAAATTTTACACCTGATTCTACAAATCCTAAGTGCCTGAGTTAAATAGGGCTTGATTTCAGGAAGCAAATGGTAGATGTATGTATGTATCTTACTGATTTCTGTATCCTACCCTCCCTGCAATGTGATCTTTAGCCAGAAAAGTAGGATAGTGAACAAATCCAGAATTTGTCTGTTTGATGTTCACAGAGTCAATTCTGGACGTAGAGTGGTCTAATTCAGCTTGAAAGGCTTTGATGAAAAATGTCACTATTTAGTATTGTTTTGCATTGTCTTTAGATGTTATTTAATGCCTGCACTCACACATATTGTACGATTGTAAGGCTGAGGTCTCTCACAAATGGTCACTCTCGCAGTACTCTGAGAAGCATGTTCCATGGGGCTAACATGATGTAATTTTTGCAACATAAAACAGAGCTTCTACAGAGACAGCTTTGGGCATGGCACATGCAAGTACTTCTTGGCTCCTTACTTTGATCACAGCCTCCATAGCGTTCTCTTTCGCCTAATTTATCATGAAGTCAGCCTTATTTCTCTGTCCAAAAGGTATTTGTTAAAGCTCTCATTATGCTCAGTAGGTGCAGTGTCACAGATACTGCTGACTCGTTTACAGACAACTTGGAAAAGGTTTTATTGAGAAGATCCTACAGACTAACGTGAGAAGTTGTTTGTTTTCCTTTTGGGGTCTCCCAACACTTTCACAGCTTCACCAGCTAATTACTGAGGTATTGGAGCTGGTAGTCATTCAGATGTTAATTCTAGCATTTGTTTTAGCCACCCAGATCAACTTGGATTTTCTGGTCTTTGAAGTTGACAGTAAGAAATCAAGTTGGACCTTGAGATGGGAAAACATAACTGTTTTAAATTCCCACAAGAGAGGCAATATTTGGAATAGCTAATAATGATTTATTTGTACTCAGTTGTAATCAAGATAACGTTTCCATTGGTCTCCAGGAGTGAGATTTCTCTGTGTCTCAGAGCATTACTGGGTCTGTTCCTAAACTTATATTTCAGTGAGTTATTTGTGAAGACATTTTGCTATGTGACAAAATTAAACGCTCTGCGTTTGTCATGCGTATGTGTTTCCATCTCTGTGCTGATGACATCTCCCTCAGGGCACTCTCACATATAAAACCAACTCTTTAGCATAAATACTTGTTCAAATTAAATGCAGGAAGCAAATGGTAGATGTATGTATGTATCTTACTGATTTCTGTATCCTACCCTCCCTGCAATGTGATCTTTAGCCAGAAAAGTAGGTTAGTAATGATTTCTGAGTACCTGATTGTATGTATTATTTGGTGTGGTAGATCAATGGCAAAGAAAGCATCATCTCTTCTCAATGAATTCCAACAAACAAAAGGAAGGTTTATTAATAAACCGAATCTGTCAAAACACACTATGCATAAATGCTGTATTATAAAGGAAGTGCTGTATGTTTCACAACAAATCTCATTATTCTTATGTGGAATAGTCTGTGTTCTTCTTTCATGCCCTGGATAAGCCGGGTCAGCTTCTATGTCTCTCACTCCTCACCCTGGGTCTCAGTACTGCCCAATTCCTCAGCAGACAGCCAAGCAGAAGTGAGAGTTATTGCTGAGAGAACAGCACATGCTGTTGGACTTTTGCCCCCCTTTCTTTCCATTTCCTCCACTGCTTCCATTCATCCTGTTAGAGCACAGTTTCTGTGGCCTCTTGTGATTAGACAAGCACTTGTTTCCACGGTAGAAATTGTGTGATTATGGATATCATTTTAATATCAACTGAGGTCACCTTCTTATGAAAACTTTGGAACAGCTTGTCAAGAACGTACGGCTTCCCTAGGAAAAGAAGGTGTCAAATTCTGTTCCCAAACCCACCACCATGTTGTATTTCTTCTCATGCTCTTTGTACCACAGCTCATGGACTCCTGAGCCAGGATATCTGATTAAAAGAAGTAGTAACACACATCTAAAAGAATTCAAACTTGCATCATCCATGACAGCTGGATGAGGAACAGAGTGACATCCTGCCATCATTCAGGCTCTCAGATTAAACTCTCTGTCAACTGTATATCTCTCTAAGAAGGTGAACAGATATTTCTGTCAACACCCAGCCTATATTTAAAGCTCTGGGCTTTGAACTGATGTTTGAAGGCTTGAGCCACTTTAGGGACTATTTATCGTCTATATTGTCTTTGCCCGCCTAGAAGATTTTGTAGCCCTCAGCTGCTCTTAGAAATAAATCACCTGAGAAATTTCCTTCAAATTGGAACTGCAGAGCATTAGAAAATTCAGGGATCCTCAGGTGACTAACCATAATGGTGGAGGAAGGGAAAAGACTAAAATCAAGAGGCCCATGGGAGGAAAAAGAGTGCATACACTCTGGGAAAGAGAGGAATACGGCAGATGCAGAACAGAAAAGGTGGAAAGCAGGAGAGCTGGAGTCTGGCAGATGAATAGTCTTCATGTTGGGCACTGCTAGGTCTGCTCCCTCCTTGCTCTGCTATGACCTTTCTCCTAGTAGCTCAGCAGGGAAGGCTCTCTGCTATGTCATCTGGGATAACTCAGTATTAAGGCACAGAGCTTCCACAAGAAGAGGAAGATGTTTGTTTCGAGCCAAACTTTGCTGCTATGGCCTTCAGCTGGAGTAACCTACAAAGATTTTAGTCCTAATTTTTGTGGAACGTATGAGAGGGGAGTTAACCAGGAAACTTGCATTTTCAGCTTTCCATATTGGATCTGCTGGAAGCCTGTGCTGTGCTGTCCTTGAGAGCAAACCTAAGCTCTGGTCTCACATGAGATTGAGAAGTCCTTTTTCAGTGTGGTTGATTGTAGGCAGGTTTTGCAGTGCTGGTTAGATACATTGAAATGTTTCGTTAATAAAACCCTTCTCAAAGAAAAGAACAAAAAACCCAGTTACCAACCAAAAAAGAAAAACAAGCAAACAGACAAAAAACAAATTACAACCCTAAAAATTCCCAAACACCAAGTACCTAGAATTCTCCTTAAATGCAAGTTAGTTCTGCCAAGAATGCCTGTTCAAAGTCTATCTTCCTGGTTGCCAGCTTCCTAAAAAAACCATTTTGTTTATGACAGCATCAACTCCATGAAGAAAACAATTGTCCATTGAAGAGAAACAAATCCAACCTACCAGCTTCAAAGCTCTCTACTTCGATTGCTACATGCATTAGGCAGTTTGACATATACACTCGAGAAGCTAATGAAAGACAGCAGCCTTAATATGTTCCTGATTTGGTTTAGCACTTTGGGTTTAACAGTAGACACTGGCAGATCGTCTGAAAAATTCGGCATTTGCACAAGGCACAGTAGTTACAGCAGGAATTCAAGTGTGGTTTGCAGGTTTTGAAGTTTGGCACGCAGTCAGCAGCAGGTGTGGGCCTTGGTTTTGGAGGTTTCTTCGGTTCAGCATTTTTCTGGAACAAAAACATGAAAATTCATACAAATGCAGAACAATTATGGGTCAGGATAAGGGACGGATGCAAAGAAAGTGAACTGTGGGAACTTCTGGCTTGAGATGGCAGTGAGACCCAAATTAAGTAGCAGCATGGAGTTGATGTGGTGGGACTGGGCTATGGGAACCCATGGAGCAGAATGGCACACTGCGTATGGATGTGCAGCGTAGGCAACAGACACTTCCTATTATGAGTGCCTAAAAATGTGACTGAATAGACCTTGCAAATACACCGTGCAGAAGAATGCAGCAGCAGCAAAGAAAGCAGCGCAAGAATCTTTAAGGATGACGTTATTACAGGTTCAACAAGGTAATGAATTACTCTTGGATGCCCAGCTTGTTTGTCAAGCTGCTTTTGGAGCTCAGTGATCATCTGTGCATCAGATTTGCATCTGGGAATCCTTAACTGCAGACACAGGTGAGTGAGCTGAAAAAGGTTTTGCCTACCTGAGGAGTGCTGCTTCCCTGTGATTTGGAAAGAGGGGAAAGCTGGGGCTGGTCAGCACGTGCCTGGCACCTGGGCAAGGCTTCTGGAGCCTTCCACAAATGCCCCTGGCAATCTTTTAGAATTGGTAAGTTTACCAGAAGTCTCATTTGTAAGGCAAACATGGATGTGGTCTGTAAGTGCTTTAGACGTCAAGCTCGAGTACTTTGAGTTTGACTGCAAGAACGACCTGCTGAGAGCTGCAGTGGGAACAGCAGCACCTCCTGTGGCCTTTATCAACCTGAGTCATGCTGGGGGCTTAGGAAGTGTTTCAGAGAAGGCTGACCATTCAAAACACTAGAAAGGAAAAGAAGGAAACTCTAAATGTTGCTGGTTGTAGTGAAGACTAGCTTGGCTTCAAAGAAGCTGCCACGTCAAACCAAAAAATGAAGTAAAAATGCTATTTTCTACTCTCTCAGAGAGTCTTGAAAATACCAATCTGAACCAAACAATGGGATAAAATTCCTAGGTAATGTTTTCAACTGAACACCAAATTATTTGGATCCTTCTACTTCAGTGTTTTGGCACATGCAGTTAAAAGTGAGCGGAGTGAGTTTGTGCCTCTAAGCTGCAGGGCTTGGACAGCTGACCCACGTGCTGTGATTGGGAATGGCATCTTTTTTTGGCCAATACCTGAATAGTGTTGCAAATACTTCGAGCATCTCAAGTCTAAGCTAGGTTTTCTGTAAGAGGATTGTAAAATAAAGCAAAACAGAAACTACAAAACCAAAACCCAGTAACCTGTAACTAATGTAGAATCATGCTTTTTTTCCCCATCATTTATGTTTTTCATCTTTTCATTTTACAGTATTAAGCTTCAAACTTTATGTAAGTTAAGTCATGGAATGACTGTAAAAACTCTCTAGATAAGTGCACTGGGGTGAAGTATAGCAATAATAAACCATTCTATTTTGGCAATATTTTCTGAACAGCTGCCTACCTTGGAAGATTTCTTATTCTCTGCCTCTTTTCTGCTGACTTTCTGGGATCTTTTAGTTAAATCTTCAAAAAGAAAAGCAAAACATAACATTAAATCAGTCTTACAGCAAATATTCTTTAACAGATATGCTTGATAATATTTTTATGCAAGATAACCTGCATTGCTGTCATCACTGCAGGCGTCCAAAAAAAAACCCAACCCCCCCCCCCCCCAAAAAAAAAAAAAAAAACAAAAAAACCAAGGGCTCTGTGTTAGTAAATTCTCTTGGAGTATTTATGCATATTAATTGTATTTAAAAAAAAAAAAAAACAACAGGAAAAAAACAGTGAGAATTCCATGTTTTCTTCTGTAAAAGTGGTGTTACCTACACAAATTTGACAGGAATTACTGTTCTGGTTTCATCAGCAAAAAACTCTTTGCTGTTTTGGCATAAAACACCTTGAATTCTTCACTTTCTTGTTCCTTTTTTACTTAGCGTCTCTTTTCATGAAATGCTAAGGCAAAGGTGTTTCATCAACACACCTGTAGCTTTTAAATGTTTGTGTGTGTTGCTGGAGTTGATTCTTGAATTTGGTAAATTTTAGAGAGGAGATTTCAGACTTCGTGTGATGGAAGTTTGTAAAGTTTCTTCTTTTATTTTAAGGTCAAAACACTAACATGAAATTTCTCACATTATCCTTTGAGGAATATCAGCTTTATTATTATATCACCTTTAATAGGAATTACTGTTTGATGTTACCTCCATAATTAAGACTTGCCTTGGGATCTAACGCAGCAGGAGTTTTCTGTTAAGGAGTGAACGCTGCCCTTCTCATCTATCACAATATTTTTGTACATTGTGAGCTTTGGATTAAGTGTAAGATCCCTGATTAATTGACATGAAAAGATTTGCATACGCCTAATTATGAATGGTGGCTGCTTGCTTGTTCCAGAATTTGCTACCCAAACCTTTTTGAACACTTAATAATTACCAGAATTTGCAGAATTACGCAATTAAGAATGCACTGCTTGGCAGTTTCACTTATTATTTTAGCATCATTACAGAGCTATGGTTACACATCCATCATCAAGTGACACTGGGTGGAAAAACCGTATTTCAGGCATAAGGAATTTCAGGCCACTCAAGAAGAGCACGGCTTGCACCCTCTGGTGTGGGTTGGTCAGTTCCAGTTTCATCTGGCACGTTGTGTTGGCTTTGTTATGCTGCCCCCTGAAATTTTGTGCTGATAGCTGAAATACCTCACTGACATCCCATTCTGTGACAATTGGGTTTTCTATGTCTGCAACTGTTCTGGAATGCTTTGCTTATAAAATTGTTTTGATAATGTTCAGTTAAAGATGGAGCAATATAATTAAACTGAGATTTAAACGCTGGTGTAACAAAAATATGCAGTAGTTATTCTAGAGATTCTGGTGAAGATAATGTTATCCAGTGGGCAGACAAGAGGGAAACATAAAAATACATTTTTTAAATAGGTGAACACTGTAGTTGCCTCTTCCTTTTGTATTTAGATGATGCCTCTTTCTCCCAACCGGCCAATGATTTCATATTCCTCATCTTTTATTTACTGTGCTTTCAACTGCTGTCTAACTGACCAGCTGCTTACAAACCTTTGAAGTCATTCTTTCATTTTGGGTGTTAAATGCTCGTTGTTTTTGCATGCATATAGGACAAGGATGAACACTGTTTGCTTACATTTACCATGTTAGTTTACTGTGAATTTCTTTTCTTACTTTGGATAATTGTTTCTTTTCTCTACTGGCTCTAAAATGGGAAAGTGGCAAAACTGGGCTTTTCCACAGCATGATGGGATGATGTGGATCTTGCAGAGAACGAAGGTGTGCAGAAAGGGGAGAGAGCTTTTTGTGAGGCATTTCAGAGCCATCTAAAGCAAAAAGGCCTGATAGCATTAGGAGATTTTTCCTGTCTTGAGTGTCTGTTGGCAAAATAATATGGCATGCTAACCTATCTGCTATGCTCAAGGCATGTCCACGTTTTTCCAAGGAGACACAGAAGTTAACCAAAGGGAATGCATTTTATAATTCTGATTCTAGTTGTAAAGGAAAAAAAAATATTGGAAGTGTGGGGAGTGTAGGATTAGAAGCAACACAGAATGGTGTGGCACGAGTTTAACAAATGTGTCATTAAACCAACTTGATTAACACAGGGATAAGGAGATTTGGATTTCATCGGAGAGACTTGTGTGGGACAGCTGGCTCACCTAAAAGAAACATTGCCCTTGAGTAAAAGGGCAGAGGAAATAAAAGGTGAGAAAATTATTTGATTGGAGAACAAGTCCTAGAAGCCTGCAGAAGGGAGATGAACAGTAGAAGTTTCTCAAGAGAGAACTGAAAGCTGACTTAAATTGCATTGAAAGCGTCAAGGTTGAGATTATGAAAAAATATTTGTGGAGGAAAATGTTAAAGCATTGTCTGACAGAATTCACCACAGGACCAATGGGCACCTGTCAGCAATGGTAGGGGCATAGCCTGTCCTGCCTTGGATACATTGATGACTTCTAGCTCCCTTGCAATCCTCTCCTCTCTGGGTTAAAGATCACTTGGCACAGGTAAACTGATGTTATATTGATATCTCAGCAGAGAAATCAACAGATTTCTACAAGAGTTGATAAAAAAAAAAAATAAATAAATTGCTCATATTCACTTCTATTTGCACTGGAGTTTCAAAGGAAGATTGATGCCCATATCAGTGAAATAACCTTGCTCTTGAATACAGAAGGACATATGGTATGATAGGAACCTCAGTGCAAACTGCAAATCTGAAGGCAGCTTTTCTGTTGTTGTTCTTTTTACACTAAATTGTGGCTTGCCACACTGCCATGCTTGAATCCCATGGCTGCACTGCCACTGCAGTTCTGCGTAACACTAAGGCATCTGTGTGAAATGCAATGTTGTGGTGAGCTATCTAAATAGTCCATATTAATCAACAGCTGCATTTTCTTCAAGTCCTGTTAATTTGGCATCAAAGGGCAAATTTTACTAACCTACGATGGAGATGGGTGGGAGATCTGGGAGGTTCATTTTGTTGTTCTTTGACAGGTTGCATTCTGTCTTCTCCTCGATTACCAGGTGAGAACTGGCAGCTCTGAGCAAACTGTAGCAGAGCAATAGGCTTAGGAAGAGGTTCTTACTTTCCATCCTGGGGAGAAAAAATCCCACTGTTCATGAAAACCAAACCACAGTCAAAGCCTGTGTGCATAAGAGAGGTACCTGTGTGGTAGAAGAGAAGGAGATGAGTCTCAGCAATTCTGTCATGTTGAGCAGTTTTATCAACAGATCTTTGACAATTATTTGTTCCTACTACATCAACCTTGGTACCTGGATACCTCGGATTGCAGTTGTCTTAGCGGGGGGACAAAAAAGATCTCTCAAACATAATCCTCTAGAGAATCTTTTTTTTCTTCTGAGCCTTTTCTCAAAAGTTCCCCCCCTTCTTCCTTCCCACTGAGGAAAAAAAAAAAAAAAAAAAAAAAGAAGGTGTGAAGAGTTCTCCCCACTGACTTTAACAGTATTGTTTATTGAACAACCAAGGGAGAAATTTCTGCATTCACTTTTGGCTGGCCCCGTCACATGGTGGTATTTTTCCCAGAAAGTTCTGTTTACATATTTGTGCCATAAAATCTATAATAATAATAATAATAATAACAGCAATAAAAACAAATTATGTTTCCTATTACTTTTCTTTGTCTACAAACAAGTCATGAAGAAATATTTTATTATATCCTGGATGTGGCTGCTGTGCTTGCATATTGGTTCATAGCCATAACTCAAACAAATTATTTAAGCCTCAGGGCTGAAAGGCACTTGCATGCCAAAGGATTTAGTATATACTCAGTAATTTTTCAGATCAGCAATGCCTATAGGATTTGAGCATACTTAAAGAGAAGCCTGCCCTTTGTTGAATCTGGCCATGGACCTTGGATGAAAGCCACTGGCCCTGGACAACCTCTGAGTGGCTCTGTGCAGCAACACGGAGCACACAAACCCAGTTACCATTTTGCTCTCATTTTCTTCTAGATTTATAATGCTGTTGAAGTTCAAAGTTAATGATTGTTTCCATGTGCAGTAGTTTTATGATGTGTCAGAGTTATGAAACATTCCTTGTGGACGTTCTGCCAATCTTCAGATTTATGTGTAGCTTTTTGTCAGTGAAAAGCTACTAGCAGTATTAAAAAAAAGCAGTGAAGCCAAATAGTTCAATAGATTGTGACAGTTTAATTAGTGGAGACAAAAGATGAAGAGCTTCTGCTTTCGAAGTAGGGCATTTCCACTCTGCTCGTACAGCATCACCTTGAGCATCGCGAGGAGTTTTGGGGACCATAAGAAGTACATAAAGAATTACTGTCCAAAGAAGGGATACAGAGATGAGCAGGAGGGATGTACTGGGAACTGAATGCTGCTGTGTCTGTATCTCCAGTGGTATGCAGCTGGTAGAGCTCAAAGCCGTATGGAAATTGTGACCCAAGCTGTGTTAAAGTAGTGGCTGTAGATAGATGTATCCTTTAAATGATTTGATGAAGATTTTGTGATAGGCAATGGGAGGAGTCTTTAATTTGATTACAGATACGGTCTGGTATTAAATGTGGAGGTTGGTGGCCGTGTGTGTTGCAGGGGGGTTGGAGATTCATGATCTTTGAGGTCCCTTCCAACCCTGGCCATTCTGTGATTCTGCGATATCTGTAGGTTGCTCTGAAATTAATGCCTTCTATTTACTCATGGAAATTTCAACAAATACAAAGAGCACAATAACACTGTTCGGTAGAGCAAACTCTCAGCTACAAAGCAGTATTTTTCAACACAGTCACAACCATTAGCTCTGCATCTCTGTTAGTGATGAGCAGCAGCCTGCGCACTGAGCTCCTCAAAACCCGCACCAACAGAGGCCACCATCACCACTGCTGAAATGACCAGATCACTGCGCTCACCACCACTGCTTGACTTCCACAAACATCCAGAAAATGTTGATGAGTATCACTGGGTGCTGCTTTGTCAGCATGGAGGAATTCAGTGACGCACCTTTGCTCCGCTCACACTGCCATGTCAGACACCATTTTGTCAGGCTGCCTCTCTGCTGCCATCTGTTGCATGGTGACAAAATGGAACAGGATGCTGATGGGAAGGTTCAATCCCTACTGCCATCCCACCAATACCAGCCTCTGACATTGTGGGCCAACATCATAAGTTAGGAGGCATTACTTTCAGAGCAGCCCATGTATTTTGATCATAGAATCTACCAGATAACCCTGCTTGGGTGTTACATCTAACAGCACAGTCTGCTAGATGAATGCAAGCAGAGCTGACAGAAAGACAAAGTGAGTGGAAAGTGGAGTCAGAAGTGAAAGTGAGACAAAGGTACTGGTAGGATACTCTTTTCCATCATGTTGCAAAACTCCTCCATGTATTGCCCTTTTTTTTTTTATTTTTTATTTTTTTTTTTATATTTATTTTTTGGCATTACAAGAGAGTTTTTATTTTCCAATTTTGCTCATTAGTTTCCTAATTCTCCTTCTGGGACTCATTAGAGACTTCTTAAGGTAATCTATTTTCCTTAATTTTAGCAAGCTGCACATCTGCTTTTCTGCGAACACTTTGTTCTAAAGGAATTCATTTTCTTAGCAGATTCCTAACAATTAAAAAATATATTATTGCAGGGTTGCCATTTACTGATTTAATTAGACTAGAATGTACTATGATATGTTTAATGTGATTTTGTTTAGTTTACATGGAGTTAGTCTTGCAAGCAGAGAAGTAATCACTGAACATCAGCCACAGTTCAGCAAATTATGTAAGTAAACAGTTAACATGCGAAGTGCCCTTTACTTTCCAAGGGAATGACAGAAGTACACATAAAACCAAAAACAGAGCAAACAGTTGAAAGCTTAAAACAAATGAATTTATTGAGCACCGTCAGAGATTGCAGTGCCCTTTTCTATGCCATTCCCTCTGTATTTAGATTATACTATTGAATACGTAAGGAATATATTTGATACTCACCCCAACTGTTAAGTCCCATTAGTACTCTTTTCAAATATAAGTCAGCAAATGGCGTAGGATGAGAAAGAGCTTTCGTTTTTTCTAATCCATTTTATTTGGTGAGTTCAAATTAAGTCTTCATGAAAGAATTTGATTTCCTCAGTTGCACTCTGTAAACTCAGCAATTCTGAGAGGAGCTTGTTTCCTGCCACAACTGATTCCATTCTACTCTGAGGTTTATCCTCATCTAACAGCAGAGTGAGCAGCTGGAGACTTTGATTGGCTTAAACACTGGAAGGGACTAGTTTAAATTTTCTTGTGATGTCTGACAGACTCAGACCAACTCATAAATAAACTGGGATCACTCTAAATAGCTTGTTGAAAACTGTTGCTTAGAAAAACGAAATGTTAGAATGGGTGAACAAAGGAATATGAAGTACTGAAAACTACGTCACATCACTCAGAACTCAAAAATCTTCACCTGTGCTCTGCTCTGCTGCTCTTTCCATTTTGAATGGAATGAGGGAATGCAAGGAAAAAAAAACCAAAACAACAACCAACCAACCAAACCAAATCCAAACCACAAGAACTAGCAGATTCCTTGAAAAATTTCAAGATTTTAAGATGGAGCATCTTTGAAGTATTTAGGGAAAAAATTGAGTTCAACAAAATGACTGCATTGCTCCCCCTGAGGTTTTGGTTGGTCATTTATTACTACACTGTCCCGTCTCAGCCATCAGGTTTCAGTAGAAGAGCTGCCGTGAGGATGTGTTGGAGGGCAGGGAACGAATCCACCTGAGACAAATGGGAACGGCCAGTGCTGCAGGCAGGCATCTGCTGCGAATGCTCTGCAGTACTAAGAGCAGATTTACTTGCCTCTGACTACACAGAATGCAACTGTTGTACTCCTTCAAGACTTCAGAGGGCACTGTCAACACCGAAAACTCGTCAGTTAATTAAGTGCAAGCAATACCTGCTATTTATCCTCAAACTACGAAAGAATTTGGAATAAACCGATACAGAGCTTTCTTTAGATCAAACCTGAATCACAGTGTGTTTGAGCTATTTCATTTAGTGTTGTGAGAATGGGCTGTGAAAGTCGTAATCTACCTCTCTTAGTATTTCCAAGGTTTTGGTAAGGACAAAATTTCCGTTCCAATGAGCTTCCCTTTTTCACTGGAAAGCTCCAAGCAGGAAAAAAAAAAAAAGAAATTGTAACACAACTACCTTAATTTTGCAATTGAAATATAGGAAAAGTTTCTCTAGCTTAGGAACAGCTGCTTAATGAAAATGTGGGCACGCAGTGTGTTCATGTGCTTAACATTTATCGAATTCTTGTTACTTTAGAGCAGTTTCTAGCCCTTGCATGTTCGGAGGTGAGACTGTAGAAGAATGAGACTGAAAATTACAGCACACTTCTATTCCTCTCTTGTGTTCTGGTCTTTGAGCTTTTAGGGATCATGTGTCACACTTTCCAATTGCAGCAGCCAAGGCCAAATACTTGAGCAAAACAGCATAAAACCAAGAAAGACTTAATAACATTGCTCCAGGAACAGAGATATAAGGCTGCATGTTTTTCTCAGAGTTCTGATCTATTCTACTTTGCTTTGGGTACAACGTGGTAGTTGTGATGCACTGATCAAACTGGAGGAGGACCGATACGAATCATTTTATATCTTGTGCTCCAGACTGAGGGTAAGGGATTCCCTGGGGTTGACAGGAAAGTTCACTGTCTAAAAGCCTTTTAATCTTCATCACTTTCATTGACTCTGTTTGGTCTTGATTCTATTTAGGTGTCCAGCTGCTGAGAAATGCTTAATTAGATACGGTGTAAGTAAGAGTAAAGTTAGAGAAATGGTAAAGGAAACACACTGTGGCAAACATTCTTAATGTCTTATCTTGGACGAAATGACAACTGTTGGGAAAAGCTGTCAAGAAATTAGAAGTCTGAAACTGCCTTAACAAATGCCATTTAATCTCCCACTCCAACAGAGAAATCTGTATTTCAAGGACTTCAGAGGACTTTGAAATTCCTAAAGATAAAACAAACACACATACAAAACCCATACAAACATATTAAAAAAAAATAAAAATCAAAAAACCCAGCCAGCCGGTGACCAAAACTGACTAAAAGAAACAGAAAGTTTTACGTGCTTGGGAAAGCAATTTTGGGGCATTCCAAAGGAGTGGAATTGCTTCTATTTTCCAGAGAATAAAATCACCTCTAGATTGCTCATTGTTCCAGCCGGGTTTCGGACACACTTTCAACACTTTCACACACAACAAGGCAAAGTATCAACAATAAAATGACAGTGGAGTTGGAGATCATCTCTGGTTTACAATTACTGTGTGATTAATGATAATTCCAGACTTAATAGGCCCTTAGTGTGGGGGTTTGTCATTGCTGACACTGAGAATGATGATGTTAAGACAGAAAAAGCTTGGATGAAGATCTAAATCGAATCTAATTTTAAAGGCTGATAATTGGAAGAAGGCTTTTTTCCTCATTAAACTACAAATTAGTAACTTAGAATTTCCCAGATAAAGTCTCCAAGATCTGTAGTAACCATCTGTGCATACAGGATAGATGTGAAATTTCCAGAGAGCAATATAAGGGAAAGAACAGAGCAACTAACTATAGCAGTTCTGTTGTAAAACTAATAATTAAGGAGAAGCAAGAAAGTTAACAACAGAAGATTACAAAAGCAGAATATTTCATGATCCCATGAAAAATTATATCACAGCACAGAGGTGCCACTAAGAGCAAGTAAGTAGAGATGTTTGACAGAGACCCATTTTCAGAAACAAAAGAGAAAGGATAGCAAAATAAAACTGGACTTCAAGAAAGCAGATTTCTGTGAGTTAAGAAACGAGAGGTAAAATTCCACAAGAAAAAAGTCCATAGTAAAGAACAAAACAAAAAGTGACAACCAAACAAACCCAAAATAAACAAAAATTAACAAAACCGAAGCAAATGAAAACAGCAACACTAATTTTAACAAAACAAACAAATAAACTCAACCAACCAACGGAAGAAAAAGAAACAAAAACAGAGTTCTAGAGGTTAATTTGTGGTTAGAAAGGTAGAAGAAAACTGAATCAAATGACTGAGAAGAAATATATGATGATCTGTTAGGAAAAAAACAAAAAAACCCCAAACCTTAGAAAAATGACACAAGTTTGGGCCCCTTGCTTTCTTTGAAATAATGGATTCCAAAGCTTTTGGGCTTGATTTTTTTTGCAATTTAAATTTATTTTTTTATCCTGGCTGACAGTTGGTGTGATTTTAGCCCTCTACCTCTTGAAACCAGAGAAACTAAAGCAGGAATTTCTTGAAGTGAGTCTAATACACTTACCAGCACAAGATGACCTCTTCATAGGTTCAAAACTAGGTAGATGCCTTTGACTGGGAAACTGTTCTATATGTCCCCCCTTAATTTCTATATAGAAATTAAACCTTTTGATTTTCAGCCTGAATTTAGCGTTCGGTATGTATGTATGGCCCATTACCCTCCAGTGTTTAATTATCTCTTCTTCCTTTCTTTCTCAGCTACTGGAGAAAACTATGCAGTCCTTTGTCTTTATTTTATTACATCGCCTGCATTTTAATCTCTGTGGTGCTATGGAATTCTATTCCTTATGTCAACTTTGATGAGTCGTTTGCCAGTGAGTCATAAAGTAATTTAAGCTGTAAAGGAGTTACAGAGGTCTGTGGCCCTACCTCCTGCTCAAACCAGTGCCAGTGTAGATTAAATTGACTGACAGCTCCTCCACTTGAGACCTGAATATCTCTAAGGATGGAGTTCTCCAAATCTCTCATTGGATTGACTCCATGGGAAAATTCATTTTATTGCCTCCATTTAGCGGGAATGTTCCAAATTGTTCCTGTTGCCCCTTGCTACCTAGTTTATCAGCTCTTCTTCCCAAGCTGATATGACCAGCAAATCTGCTGAGCGTGCACCCTCTCTTGTTAAATAAATCATTAATAGAGATGCTAAGTAGTTCTGGCCTCAGTTTTGACTCTTGAGAGGCTCCAGTAGTAACTGGCCACCAGCTGAACTTCATACCAGTGAGCATGATCCTTCAAGTATATGCTCTAGATGATTTTCCACGACACTTACTGTCTACTCATCCAGTCCTTACTTTACTGGATTGACCTGCTGATAAACTGTGGGAAATTGTGTAGAAGTCCTATTTGAATTCAGTGTATACAGTAGTATGCTGCCCTTTCCGCTTATGCACACATGCAGGCAGTCACACCTCGTGTCACTAAGGAAAAGAGTCAGCTTGGTCAGGCATGATTTGCCTTTATATATCCATCCTTGCTGCTCTTAATTACTTGGATTCAAGGAACGTTTTCTCTACTGCCTTCCCAGGGACTGAGATCAGCCCCATTGACCTGTACTTCCCTGGATCATCTTCTCACCCTTTTTGAGGATGAGTGTGATGCTTTCCTGTTTTCTAGGCATAACGAATCCTCCCCCAATTGCCACAACCTTTTAAAGATGTCAGCAGGCAGCCTGATGCCCTGGGATGTACCCCGCCTCATCTCTCAGACGTCCAGCTGATCCAAGTGCTCTTTGACTGCATCTTTCTCTGCAGTGGGTAGTGATGCACTGATGCATTCCTTCAGGATTTGCCTCTAGGCTCAGGCAGCTGGGAGGCCAAAAGGCAGATCTGACCAGCGAAAGCTGAGGAAGACATTAAGTACCTCAAATTTTTATATATCCCTGCAACACAGAGAACTTGAGCTGCTCTTGATGAGGCCAAGGCCTCGCCTGGAAGTGCTGGGGCTGGCTCTGCAACTTCACAAATCCCAGACCCCAGCAAACAATGAACCTTTGCAGATATCAAGTCAGGCTGGCCAATAGGGTCCCCTATCTCTTGGCAGGTGTCTCCAGTGACTGTTTCTCACTGCTTTCTCTTGATGTGGACTCTGGGCTGGGCCACAGACCAGCTACAGTCTGCTACAACCCTCCTTCAGCATCCTCACTGGTGATGCAGCACTTAAACCAGTGTGCACTTCCCAGAGGTACCAGGCACACACCACAGCTATTTTCTGCCTAATTATCAGTAACCATTACAGCAAAATTACTTTTGTGGACTTGCTGCTCAGTCTGCATGTGGCAAAGAAGGAATTGAGCACAGTGGGTGTCCATGTGCACACATCCATCTCCTTTGGCCCTAAGTGCAACATTGGAGTTAAAGGCTTTTTCCTGTGGGAAACAGTGTATATGGTGTCCATCTGCTACTGCCACAAACGGAAACCCTCAAAATACTCTGAGTTTTCTTATTTTCTTCGGTACAGTGAGATGTAGTGAAACAAGTACTGCTGCATCGCCAGGAGATAAATCTTTAGCTACCACTGGCCCTATTCTTTGCATGGGCATAATCTTTGCAGAATTATTTTCACTAATTTGATGTACTTTTTAAGTTGCAGATGCCACCCTCAGCTGTTCTGCAAGCCATGAAATACTCTCAGGCAGTGTTTAAAATAACACAAAGCATGCAGTTATGGTGCTCACGTCTAAATACATCCTCAGTTTGTTTAAAAAAAAACAATCCATGTGCAGTGTATAAAAATGAACATGTCTGTAGCTGAAAAGCAAACTTGTTTTTCAGATTTAAAGCAAATTTAGTTCCAAGGTTTTGCTTTCTTTGTTTGTTTTCTTTTGAGATTATGTTTAGGCAATATCCTC